AAACGTTTTTAAACGGACAAAGGCGAGCGAAACAATCCACAACTAAATCTCTTTTGCAAAATATGATGATAACAAATCCTATAGAAATTTTCGATCAATCAGTAAACGTAGATATTTCACGTTTAATTTAGCATATAACGGTAGATGAAAGATTCAGTAAATATATACATATATGTGTGTGGTTTTTATGGATATTTGGTATCTTTGCTGAAAATATGTAGTTTTTTCTTCTTGGACATATTTTATTATTCACTTTAATTATACAGTTTTCTTTAATATTTTGGGTTACTATGTATTTGCTGTTTATGAATGTTATAGTCCAAAATCAAATTAAATGATCTTGCATCCGGTTCTACAAAAGCAATTTCTCTACAGAAGCAGGTAGAAAGTCTTCTCTCTCACAATGTTCAGCCATGACAACCTACCATAACCGAATGTTAGGAGATAGCAGAGTGTCAAAGATGGTCGAAAAAGCCAGTGTATTTGAAGAAACAACAAAGGTTTGGCTAGAAAGTAAGTTTTATAATAATATATTGCATATTTGACTAAATAATCAAAGAAGCAAAAATACATAAAAGTGGCATTTAGAAAAGTTACTTTAGATTCTACCATTAGCTCTTATATAAACAAACACAAGAAAAATATACGAAATGCTACTAAATATATTTCACTGTGGCGAGGATAAAATTATGTTCTCTGTACTACACTTTGAAGTTTGATGTCAAACGTTTTACTGGACGTGACAGTGTAAAAGGTACGTGGTCATGTGACTGGAAGTCCATTAGCTCTTTATTTCTGGAATGAAATGGACACCATCTTTACCTTTCTTATAGGTTAGGGTTAAGGAGCGAAGAAGTTTCTGCTTTAGCCGATGTCAGTTTAAACTCAAGCAAGTTGGGAAGTATGTTCAGTGAAGATGAAGAGCAAAAAACGTGTAGTTGTGCACAAAAATACCGGGAATTTGACGGAACGTGTAACCGTTTACAATCCCCTAAAGACGATTCTGCTTTCACCTGTTTGACAAGACTTCTTTCAGCAAAGTACGCTGACGGTGAGTATTACACTGATTAGTGCACTCCTGTCTAGTAGTAGTTTTCCGAAAATGGCGGTTTTTGATATATATTCAGTATTTTTTCTTACAAGTAAAAGATAAATAGAGACTTTAATATTGTCAGAAAGCATTTTACTTTTATAGTTTAGATTTATATTCGTAATGCTATGTGTGTAAATTATTGTGATATATATTTAAATGTAAAAATAAATGAGCAAAAACAAGCTTATGATTGTTTACAATTATTATGTCTAGAGAAACTCTATTATTTGGATTTCATCAGCCTCCCCTCTATCCACATAATATTAATACTTGTTACAATTATATTATTTATTAATATTTAGAAAATATATTTGCCTACAGGTATTTTTGAACCAAGAAAAGCGAAATCTGGAAGAGACTTACCCAATCCTCGACTAGTTTCAACTACAATCCATACCGATCAGAACAGAGAAGCATTTTTCACACATTTTCTGATGGTGTGGGGTCAATTCATGGATCATGACAGTGCCCTCGCTCCATTTAACAGCGCCCCAGAAGAGGAAGTGATACTGGGAGGTAGATCTCAATTTTCTTTGTTTCTTTATCTTTTCTCTTTCTATTTACGTATAGATGTATAATCACGTGAGGTACAATAATTTTAAATCTTATTTTCCGTCAGATAAGCCAGTACAATTAGCTGAGCGGGAATAACGTATCTAAGTCAGTCTAAATATGAGGATACTTAGAAACGTTAATGGTATTGAAATATATACCTTAACAACTTCACAATTTTAATTTTATTGTTCTAACAGAAATAGACTATATTTGTAATCTAAGTATTCTGTTATTTTCTACGAGTAGAAAAACTGAAAAATTTCTCTCGTGAATTTATTAACACATTTAATGATTTGCTGTTTTAAGTTTTCTTGTAAGGAAAATTGCTCCATTTCAATAATAATGTTTAGATCCAAAAACCATTACATAATTAAGATACATTCATTATCGTGACATGTGTTTTAGTTTCTGAAAATATCCGGGAATGGTCAGTTGTTTAAATGTTTTTTTATGAACACTATTAAAACACATGTGAAATCTATACTAATATTTGCATTGAACATTTTCATTTTAATCGTCAAGATGGAGCTGAACGTATGGACTGCTGCGATTCAGAGCATATCAATGATACACGATGCCTTCCGATCGAAATTCCTCAAGATGATCAATTCTTTAGTCAATTTAATGAAAGATGCATGAATTTCCGAAGGTCTGCCAGCTGTCCAAAATGCTCACTGGGTAAGCTCTTAAGCTATTATTAAGCTGAGAAAATCTTGGTGAGTAAGTATAGTTGTGTTTCTATATGATTTAAATAGTATACTTGTTCAACATAAGTCTTGACAGTGGCGTTTGATA